TAGGTGTATTGTGATCGGATCAGTTAGGGTCAACGTGTTAGGGTCAGTGTTGGTGTTAGATTTGGTGTTAGTGTTAGAGTTAGGGTTAGAGGGTTAGGGTTAGTATGAGTGCTATAGGGTTAGTATGAGTGCTAGTGTTAGTGTTAGGGTTAGATTTATTGTGAGTGTTGGTGTGATTGTTAGTGTGATTGTTAGTGTTAGTGTGAGTGTGAGTGTTAGTGTGAGTGTTAGTGTTAGTGTTAATAGTAGGATTGGTAGCAGGGCTCCCTAAGTAGAACCTGAATGCAAATCCACGATTGTCTGACCCCTGCACCACCTGACCTGCCAGCTTAGAGCCATTCCCAACACCAAAATTCTGACCCTCACCTCAACTCTGACCCACCTTGGCCTTGGAACCCTGGCCCTAACTGTGAATGTGACCCCAACTAACCTGGAACAGACTTCAACCCATAGCTCCAACCCCTAGCTCTGGACCCCTAAGCCTGAGCCTGACCTCATCCTGACCTATGTCGGCGGTGCTAGTAGGTCGTAGGTCGAAGGTGTGCAACAAAGTAGCTGGGTCGCGGTGCTTTAAATATGTAAGCAGCACATAGTACCCGGCTCAGGCCAGGTGCTGTGACTGCTGTGCCGAGACTATGTTGTCATATGGTATAGCCCGTCTGAAATTCCCAGTTGAGCGATTTAGTCCCTCATGGGAACGAGGGCTAAAAATGATTGTCGGTTTTTTGCCTAGTGTATACATTTCTTGGTCCGCATCAGATAATGGCGGTGCGGGCATCATGTCAGTCCACGGGGCAACGGTGCAGCGAAACACCAACGGACTGTGCGCCCTACTGGCCGAGCCGCCGAGAGACTACGGTCGTACCGTCGAGGATATGATAGCTTTGAGCGCCAAAGGTAGATCCAGAGGTACCATAAGCAGTAGAACTCCATTTGGTTACGTCTCGTTGGCCAATCCGCTCAGCAGCAATTAGCACTGCCCCAGGTCAAATGCAGAGAACAGCATGAGGCATAGCAGGAGGAACGGAGCTCAGGGCGCACGACGGCAGCATGGAAGCAAAGAGCCTGCATTTACGGCTTCGTGCTCGCTACAGGTAGTCGAGACCGTGGGCGAATAACGTGAGTAGGAAACCCGTGAAACCCGACCACTTGCTCAAATGACACGTACTAGCCTATCCGAGACGTTTCGATTTTTTTTTCCGGTTGTGTCAGGTCAGGGAAACCCAAATATCAAGTCTTTGGGTTGAATCGCGATCTCCAATGCGTGGTTTGAACAGAACCGTGGTGGTAATGAGAGCCAAGGATATCCGCACGTGAGCCTCGGTTTTCTGCACGCACGTGACTATCTGATGATCTCTGCCTCGCGTTCGTTGGAGTTTCGTCGTGCTACCACTACGGGCAACAGTGCTGTCGTTGCGCCCACCAATTTCGATATCTCGACTTTGCTGTGACTTTGATTGCTGGACCTTGCTTCAAACTTGAATCGATAACGACTGTTCAAGCCATACAAGAAGCCACAGATATGCTGTCGCTTGTCTGCCGAATTCCATAGGCTCACGCGCGCACTATCGTTCCTGAGCATGTTCATTCTAACAGCTATGGTATGGATGATGAGCCGAGTACTCATTGAGATTCATTGGAGCATCGAGTATCCGCGCTGTGCTCATGCTACTCGTTCCGAGGCTAGCATATCTTGCTCCGAGTGGTGTGTGTACATATACTATCTCATTGTCGGGGAAATACACTAAATTTACGTCTAGTAGATACAGAAATAATCCTATGATGGTGTTGTACAGTGCTTGAATCCGGAGTGCCTTTATGCCAATCACCTCCACCAAACCACTCTCGCGGCCACGTCGCTACCTCCCTCCCTCCCTCATGCCAAGTGAAGTACCCACATGTCTCCGTGCTTCGGCGGAGATATGCCAAGGTACTTTGTTCGCCCGGAGAGAAAGTCGATTCGCTTCACTCCCTTCGCCTTCTCCGCCTCTCTTTCGCGTGTGTTGTTCAGGCGTCGATATCTCTTCTGCCAGGCAGCTGTGACCTCCTCGGCTTTGGAATGCCCGAGTTTCGCGAACTCGGTCTTCGAGATCGGCGTTCTCAAGCCGTGATATATGGACGCGAGCACGTCCCCGACTGTGACGAACGGGTTGACGGAGGATCGTGGGCTCGAAATGGCCGAAAATGGAGAGCCGTGGTATGGAGGCGACGCAGGTGTAGTAGGCGTCACCGTGATCAGGAAAGGGAGGTGGTTGCTAACCAGCTTCAAGGACGTGACCGGTGGGCTTGTCGCTGGCTCCGCAAGGAGTGATCGCAACTCCTGCCTTGAAGAGTGCGGAGGATGATGAACGAGCGAAGCAGTGCTCGGATGCTCGATGGTGTCGTATTGGATGGCTGGTGTGTGGTATAGGTGGTGTGCCAGGGAAGGGTGGATGTTCACAGCTGATCCAGGGAGGGACGATGGGAACGACGGCGGCGTCAACGGTCCATCGTCAGACGACAACGACGCGTTGGAGTATGTGGGAGAGGGCGTGTTCGCCGTCGGTGTGGACGTGAGGGACCACGCGGGCGAGTAGTATGTGTTCGCCTCTGCGAAGCGGACGTGTCTGTCGGCCATCGTAGTGTGCGGTATGGGTTGTAAGTGATCTAATCGACCCCGACCCGTCCTTATATGCAGATAGAGGGGCAACCCCTATTGCGCAGCTTTGACAGCAATCGCCCTTCGGAGCCATGGGCTGCGAGTCATTTCTCAGGAACTGCGTTGACTCAAGAGGTTTAGCGCTGGTCGACGTGTTTTCCTGTACAGCTCGGGATCACATTATTTCCTTTTCTAGAAGCCGGGCGCTTAACTATCAACTGCGGTGCTCAGCCGACGCTGTGCGCCGCCTTGGGCGGTGTGCCGTAGCCTCCTTCGTCGAGGAACGCAGCATGCGGTCCAGAACAGCTTCCTAATATGGCGATGTCGGTGCTTTGATAAGCTCAGCGCCTGGCGCAGGGCGCGGAGCACTTGTGTTCGCTTATGGTCATGGTGAACTCATTCTCTAACGCTGCACGACGAGGCACTGCGCTATACACTCCCTGCCCTAGGTGCGCGCGTCCTCGGCATTGCGTATGTAGCTTGTATGCTTACCGTTGCCGGAAGGCGACGTGTCCAGTGCCCTAGGTAATGGCACGGCGTTGTGCCTACACCCATCACGGTCCTGAAGAGTCGGGCTTGAAGAATCAAACCAGTGGTAAAATCCGGGATGGGGGGAAGTCTCATGGCGTTGGCGCTATGAGACTCACCGACCAGACCTGCCAGGATATGCCTCTGTCATATGTGCGAACATATCCTAGTATGCTCCAGTGGACTATGCCGGGCTATGCATTCCCACACGCTCCCCTCGCATCTCAAAGTAGCAACTGTTGCTACAAAACACGGAGCCCTTTCTACGCCGACTAGCTATGCTAGCGAACTGAAAACGAAGTTCTCCCGCGGATCGCTGAGCCCGTTCGATTCATGCCGAGTCTGAAGAACAGACCATGTTGCTGATCTGCAGGGGAGGATACTCGCAGCGACTCCGGAGCTGTTATTCAAAGTATGGCGATTTGGCGCGGCGCTGAGAAAAATCGATGTTTATCACAGAAGGCTTATCACAGGCCAAAGGCATTCTGACAAGGGTGGGCCATTCACGACAATGCACTAGTATGCGATTATTGGGTCATTTGAGTCACGGTTTTCTGATATATCAACCCCGGAGGCAGAAGTCCCCGAATTGTTCCTGTGCACTTGGCTTCGTCTGTCTTGCCCAAGTAACGATATCTTCTACGAGCGGACAAGGAAAATACGCCGCAACTGGTGTGTGTGTGGTATTGATGTCGGACCGCGGCAAGGATATCCGGTTTGTCACAATATTCTCATTGACTAGGGAAGCGAGCCGGACTCATAGCTGCTAAGCCCGAAATTCTCCTCAGATAATATTACTGAATGAGCCGAGCCATATTAGTCAAGATATCATGTACGGCAGATACTGCACAGAACCCGAACCGCAGGGCCTCCAAGGTCGCCGAGTACTGATTCTTGCTTGCCGCAGCGCATTCGTCGAGGAAAACGACGTCGAGATCCTTGCAAAATGCCGTGTGCTAGGGTAATGTGAAAAAAGTCCGACGACTGGTTTACAAATGTAAACAATTCGAGGGTAGCCGTAGCATTTATTCACACCGATAAACAATGTAACTAATGTAAATAACAAACAACCGCCTTCCGAGCTCAAATCCGGGACCAGTCCAGTGGTTGAGGCTGTGATGTGGGGACAAAACTCGTGTCAGTCGAGCGCGAGACGCCTGGAATGGGCTCGAGGGACAGAACATCGCGGATTAATGGCGAGGTGAGATCGATGTCGTCATCTGCGTGTACGAACTCCTCGCGCAACGGCAAGGAATCGGTTCTGGGGCGGAACACGTTGGCAGACCCAGCATCGCCCGAGTCGTCAACATCGTCGTCCGAATCCGAATCCGACGCCGAGTGTTCCTCCTCGATATGCTCCTGATGCTGCTGGACTGCTTTCAGCATGTCGGCGTTGAGATCGCGAAACTTGACAGTCGGAAGTTTTCGCTCTGTGGCCCGTTTCTCCGCCTATTCCACCATGAGTGTATAGTCAGTTCGCAGCAAGCCATGAGAGACTACGGCACGTACCTGGTGATCACCGTACCACTGCCCAACCTGTATCATGTCGATAAGCGTCTGAACTTGCTGGTTTCCGCGTGTGGGTGAATTGAGCCATGTGATCTTCGAGCCGGTGCGTTCATCAGGCATGGAATTGGGAAGCATGTTGAAAATCTTGACAGCTAGCATCTGAGAGATCGTTTTCAAGTGAGTTATATGCTGGTCCAGCGTTCGGAGCAAGTACACTTACCGCGAGGACTTGAGAGTGCTTAATCGGCTCCAGCTCTTCCCACCACTCAAGGGCAGTCTGACCGGCTCGTAGAGGCGCGTTGAACGGATATTCGCCATGCCAGAACATGATCAGCTGCTTCTTGAACTCCAGGGCAACGGCCATGCCGTCCAATGGCTGCTTCAAGAGCGGGTGGATGTGAGCGGCACCGGGTTTCTCTGCGCGATCGATTTCAGCTTTGAGTAATTCTTTGAGACACGACTTCACGTGGTGGTACGCGCGGGGATGCGGCATATTGCTGTCGTCGTCAGGCTTGGAAGGGGGTAGAATGATGTTCGATGTCATGGTTGCGGGCCGGATGAGGATGTCGTTGATGGGATAACCTATGGGTCCATGGTCGTCAGCGTGTCACGTCACAAGGGTATCACCAACGTACGCGGATCCAGCAGCGCAGCTGCGAAGTAGATACCATTCGAAAAGAACTCTTTCCAGCGACGATTGAAGATTGCTGTCACTTCTTGTGCGAGTGACTCGGGTATCCCAGTCTCATCAACATGTCCAGAGAAGAGTTCGTGTAGTGATGCACCAATAGCGTTCCAAAAGATGAAGACATTGGAAGGGGTAGCACAGGCGGCTTCGAGAGACCAGAGTGATCGAATGAATGGAGCGATGATGAGGATGTATCTGCTCATAGAGAGGTCGAGGTTTATGTACGCGGAAGAATGGCGATTCTTGAATAAAGATTGGATGACTTTGTTCTGTAAAACAGCTTCTCAGCAGTATTCGATGGGAAGGAGGTTCGGTACTCACAGTAAATGTGATCTCCTTGGCACCCACGAGCTCTGCGATGTTCGGAAGGCATGCCTGGTGTCATGAACGCTTAGTAATGACACGCAGAATAGAGTAGAACCTTGTAGAAGGCGCTGGAATGCGCCTGAAGGTTCTAGGACTTGTAGTGACTCAGGTTATGACTCGACTGTGACTCATAAGGAACATTGTAGAATAGTATAGAACGTTATGGTAGGTACTGGAAGGTTCTAGTACAGTACTTGTATAGTAGTATATAAGACGCTAGCTGAAGTCGATGGACTTCAGCTCGTCCATCTGTTATACACGCCCTTAGCGCTATAACGATTGACGGTTCGGTTACGGCCTTTTAGACTTAAGACTAAGACACCGCTACCTTAACAACAACAACCCCACTCGACCTAGTGCGCCTAGAGTCTTGACTCTCACGCCTAAGTCACACGACACAGCCTAGACTACGACGACAGACTTTACGCCAAGTCTAACAACCACGACGGTTCGGTACCCGCCTAAGGTACCACGATCTAGGGGTTCTTACACTTGG